TCTTCTCGAGTCTCGTAAGCAAGTGCATTGCGCTGTCGCAACGCGCGGCGTGGCGCAGGGAGGTGCTGGCGAGGGAGAGCCGTGACGCGGACGATGGCGGCGACGCTGAGGATGAGGCGGGCGAGGCGCACCCGAGTCTGCTGCGCCTGGCGGAGGAGATGGACGGACAGGAGGATGAGGATGCGGCGTTCCTGCTGCACTCGGAACGCAGCAGCTCGTGGGACGGCTCACCGGCAGAGAAGGCGTGGCGGTATGTGCAGATGCAGCTGGAGGTCCACGACGGGGCGCACTCCTGCTGGCGCTACCGCGCCGTCGTGCTGCAGCGCGCACTGGAGCTGGATGGCGCTGTGTGGCTGCCAGAATGGCTGCTTGGGTGGTTCCGCGTGAGTCGTGTTGTGTGCCTGCGTGCGACGCGATTTCGCACGCTGGCTTTGGCGGCGGGGTATATGCTGATGCTGGGCGCCCTGTTTGCACGTCGCAGGAAAACAAGCCGGATCTGCTTATCCGAGCGTGTCTGCGTGCGGGGCTCTTGGAGCGTGCGCTCCGCGAAGCGCTGACGTTGCTTCACAAGGTGGGTGGACGCCGGCCGAGCGGAGCAGAAGAAGTGCATTGTCGCTGACACAGGACACGTTTCGATCTACATGACAGCCGCTGCGACGCTCTACACACGGCGGCGGCGGTACAGAAGGAACGGGAGCAGCGTTGTTGCAAGTCGAATTGGTGCCCTATACCCTGATCGACGAGCTGCTACTTGTCGCTGAAGACTTGAACAGCGGCAACGCGCTGGATACGCGCCGGCTTGCGCGCGAGGTCAGGACCTCGGTGTCAGAGCGGCTGGCGCGTACCGAGCGCGCTGAGGCGGGCGTGCTGCGGCGCGCCGAGGGAGAGGCAGCGCAGGAACAGCGGCGGCGAGACGCTCAGAGTGCCCGGATGGAGTGGCAGCCTGAGGCGGCGTGACAACGGAATGGAGATGTAGAGTACATACATGCATGCATGCAGCGACGGAAGGGTGCAGCTGTCCGCCCGCCCCCACGTATCTCTCTATGTGAATCGATATCGACGATGGCCGCCCAACGTTCCAGCGACGGTCCAAACCCTGCCATGGGCCGGCAACGTACCACGCACGCCTGTACCTGCTACATGGCACCTGTCCAGCGAAGTGTTGGGTGATAATTTGCTCGGAGGCACGATAATCACGCCGAATGTGCTAATTAATATCTAGTAGTCGGGCGGGAGAGCAGCCGCTGCTCTCTCTTGCCCCCAGCTGGGTGACCGAAAGGATGTCACGGCGAGCGGATTGACTCTACTACTGAGTTGCTGGCCTGGAGAGGGGCAATATTTCTCATGGCCCCACTCGGAAAAGTGCTTGAATATAATATAATATAATATAATATAATATAATATAATATAATATAATATAATATAATATAATATTATATATCGGGCGATGGATTGCCGGGCTTTGGCTTTCAGTTGCAGCCAATCAGCGTGCGCCCATTTTTCATTCAGCAAGGGCGGGGTGCGCGGAACGGCAGCACAGCACTCTCCTCTCACTCTCTTTACATCGCACCACTTTTTACCGCCCGCCACTGGAGCAGCAATCGTCCATGCACAAGCTGACCGCATAGTACAGCATCGTCTCATCGTCCCCCCAAATCTCCTTCTCGTCCATCTCCACCAAGCACACCCATGCCCATCTCACCCAACCCATCTTGTTGCTAGTAGCCCAGCACAGAGCCAAGCGTGCAGCCCGGGCGAGTAGAACGCGGACACGAAAATACGAAAGAAAGCAGAAGAAACCAAGAAACAGCAACGCAACTACAGTCATGGATCGCGGCATCTCCGCTCTGCGCACCCTGCGCACCTCGTGCCCCTTCCTCGGTCGCACTTCCATGCCGACCCTGCGCAACATGTCTACCACCTCCTTTGTCCCCGAAGGACCCACTCGCCTCGCCGTCAGCGCCCAGCGCTGCCCTGTCATGTCTCAGGCCATCGCCGAGCAAGTCACTCCCGCTACCACCACCACTGCTGCTGCTGAGGCCGCTTCGGTCGTCGCCACGAGCGCCCATGCCGGCAGCGCCATCTATGGCGGCGCGCTCAGCTCGCTTGTCCTAGCCACCTCGCACAGGGTCGCCGGCCCTGCCGCCGCCGCCACAGGAGGATGCCCCTTTGCGCACCAGACGCGCAACTACGTCTCCTCTTCCGAGCCTCATCGCGCCGCCGTCGTCGCCGCCGCCACCCAGGCGGCCCCCAATGACGAGGACATCGCCCGCATCCATGCCCACGAAGGCGTACTCACTGGCAGCAAAGGCGATGTGTCGCAATGCCCGCACACCAAGGCCGCTGCCGCCGTCGAGGCCGCCGCCGCCCAGGGCAAAGCGACCGCCTCTTCCGTCCACAGGAAACAGGCGCGCACGCCCGGCTCGGGCCTCGGCCCGCTCCCGCCCCCCGCGGCCAAGCAAGGCCCCGGGTTCGACTACGAGGCGTTCTACCACGCCGAGATCAGCGCCAAACACGGCGATAAGTCGTACCGCTACTTTAACAACATCAACCGCCTCGCCGCGCGAGCGCCCAAGGGCCACCTCCAGAACGAGGCGCACGAAATCACTGTGTGGTGCAGCAACGACTACCAGAACATGTCGCGCCACCCGCGCGTCTTAGACGCCATCAATGAGAGCCTGTACAAGTACGGCGCCGGCGCCGGCGGCACGCGCAACATTGCCGGCCACAACTCGAGCGCTGAGCGCGCCGAGGCCGTGCTCGCCGATCTGCACCGCAAGGACGGTGCGCTGGTTTTCGGCAGCTGCTACGCAGCCAACGACGCGACGCTTTCCATCCTCGGCAGCAAGCTGCCCGGTTGCGTCATCTATAGCGACGCGTCCAACCATGCGTCGATGATTCAGGGCATCAAGCATTCGGGCGCCCGCAAGGTCATCTACCGCCATAACG